CTTTTACTCTTTAAAATAAAAATAAAAAATAAAAAAAAACAAAAAGGGACAAGTGTATAGAATATACAAAGAACTTTAATCAACAAGAAAAAACAGGCAACCCAAAATAAAATGGTCCAAAATCTTGACTGAGATTTTACAGAAGAGGGTATCTACATGGCCTGGAAACTTATGAAAAGTATTTATCTTCATTAGGCATCAGAGAAATGCAAACTAGATACACAATGGAATCCTGCTACACACCAACCAGAATAGCAAGACAAAAAGTACAAAAATATCAAATTCTGATAAGATTGTAGAGCAACTAAAACACTCAGACACAGCTGGTACCATAGTAGACTGGTACAATCACTCTGGGAAACTGTTGGCAGGATCTACTAAAACTGTGAATACGCCGACCTTCCACTGTCAGATAGCCACCTGCAAGAAGTTTGTTCTTGGGTTCACCAAAAGTCACATTCACCCAGCACTACTTATTACAGTCCCAAAAGGAAATGGTTCAAATTTCATTTTTTTAAATGTGGCATATTCACAGAATATTATAAAAGTTCAAATGCAGGAAAAAGTCATTTCTGGTGTTAGATGACAGGATAATGACCACCTTTAATACAGAGATGTGTGTCTTTTAATGCTATTCTCTTGAGCAAAATCTGGTCTCAGAATTTTTTTCATGTCAGGACTAATAATAAATGAACTTAGGGAAACAAGCTATTTCAAAACAATATGTACAGTATTATTTCATTTGGTTAAATGCAAATAATACTTATCTCTGGATTGTGGAAGGTATTTATTTTCTTATTATGTTATCTATTGTTTCTTTTTTCTACAATGATCACATTACCTGTCATTGTAGAAAATATATGTTGGGTTTTTTTTAAATAAAATTTGAGCTAGGTGTGCTGGTACACACCTGTAATGCCAGCACTTAGGATGCTGACACAGGAAGATCACTGCAAGTTTGAGACCAACTTGGGCTACAAAGTGAGTTCAAAGCCAGCCTGCACTGTATATCAAGACCCTGTCTCAAAAAAGACAAAAATAAAATAAAATAAAATATGATTATGAGCCAGGAGTGGTGTCACACACCTGTAATCCCAGCACTTGGGAGGCTGAGGCAGGAGGATCATTGTGAGTTCAAGACCAGCCTGGGCTACAAAGTGAGTTCAAAGCCAGCCTGAACTACGTAGTGAGACCCTGTCTCAAAAAGACACACACACAAAAAATATATGATTATGATGTTAGGATAAGATAATGAGGAGAGGGCTGGTACTTGAATGCTTTAGCACACTATGTTCAAAACAAGCGCTAGGTGAGGCTCTGTTACAGTCCTGGCTTTTACTAGGTCCCCATAAGGTAGGGATGGGTGAAGAAAAAGAATGCAATAGGAAAGTGGGTGTGGCTCAAAAATCATTACACAGAAGAAAAGTGGAAGCTATAGGGAGAGTCAAAACTTTCCTGATAAGGCAGGGTGTGGCACGCCTATAATGCCAGCCCTCAGGAGGCTGAGGCAGGAGGATCACTGTGAGTTCGAGACCAGCCTGGGCTCCAAAATGAGCGCAAGGCCAGCCTGAACTGCATAGTGAGACCCTGTCTCAAAAAGCCAAAAAAATACAACTTTGCTGATCTCAGCTATGACACCTTGCCCTACCCCTGCCCCCAGGCCCTCTGCTCTACTCCTACTTCATGTGACAGTCTTTCCCACCTTGACTGACCTTTGTTTCAATTTTTCCCTTCAACAGGGCTGCCTTTGCTGATTGCAGCGTTCTGTGGTAGATGGATGCCACAGTTCTCTTGCTCTCCCTATCTGTCGATGCCACTCAAGCTCCCCATGCATAACTACTCTTCATCCCCCTGCACATGAGGAGGGTATCAGATGGTGGGCTGCTTCTCTCTTCATCAAATATGCTGTGCCATTTAATGAGCCTGGATTTTGTCATCTATGAATCAGAGTAAAATAACTAGAAAAATCTCCCTTTAGGTTTACTACTCAGGATGGAAAAAAATATTTTACCACCTCATTAAAGAACTGAGCTGTGAATTCTTTTCATTTCTTATGCAGCTCCAGAGGAACATACTGTTATGTCCTACAAATCTGAGGAAAGACTAGTGGTTGCATTATACTTTTGGTATGTCAAACTTGTAAAAAGTGCTATCTCTAGAACTGCCCTATTAAGCAGCTTATATTTAATTTAGCATTTGTTTTATCTCATGTAATCTTCACAACCCTATAAAATAGTTTCTATTTGTTCCACAAGTATATATTTCACTGTTACTATGTGTCAGGCACTATGCTAAGTGCTAGCGATATGAGAGTGAACAAATAAAGCTTCTGCCTTGCTGGAGCATTCACAGCTGGCGGAGGGATACATATTACACGAAACAAATGTAAAACTGCAACTGTATCAATACTAAGTTGGAGAGGTATGCAGAGCAATCCGGGTTTACCTTGGAAATGAAGTTTCAAGTGAGTTTTACGAAATAAGGACAGGCATGGTGTTGCACACACCTGCAATCCCAGCGTTCAGGGAGGCCGAGGCAGGAGGATCAAAAGTTTAAGGAATTCTGGGTAACTTAGTAACTCAGTAAGGCCCTGTTTCAAAATAAAAAATTTTAAAAGGACCTGGGCCTATAGCTCGGTGGTAAGCGCTTGTCTAGCTTGCCGGAAGGAGGGAGGATCACCTACACGGTAACTAAAGAGGAGGATCGAAGAGAAGAAAGGACTTGCTAATTTTATCCCAGGTCTGATACCTGTTACTCAGCGCCAGACTCTCTAATCATTTCATCCCCTCCTGTACAAGACTAGGTCCAGTCACAGAAGCTGAAAATCCACAGCTCTCTTGGCCAGAAGAGGAAGCCTATCTTAAAAAAAAAAAAAAAAAGGTGGGGGTTGATGTACTTGACTACCAAGAGAGACTTCCAGGAAACCAAAGCAACCTTAGAGACTGGGGTCTGAGGACTGCAAGATCCTAGGAGACCACTCCTAGACCCTCGGAACGGAAAGAAGACTTGACACAGACGCCTTCCTCTCTCCTCTTCCCCAAATCAGTTAAGGGAGAGAGCGACGGAAGAGCCCGCAGGGACGGAGCCCCAGACCCTGCCCTACCGCTGCTGCTGCGCGCGCAACGCCCCGGAAGCGGAAGTGCAATTGAGGTTACGGCGGGTTCCAAAATGGCGGCCCTCATGGCGCTGGTGTCCGGCTGCGGGCAGCTGTTCCGAGGGCTCCTGGGGCGCCCAGCCGTAACCAGCTGGGCTCGGCTACCAGCTCGCGGGTTCAGGGAAGGTGAGTTCCGGAGCCCAGAGACCTCCCATTTCGAAATCGAGAGCGGCAGCGAGTGTTCGCGTCAGCCCTGCTGCTTCCCTCCCTTCGTTTTCGTCCGGCGATTCTGAAACAGCGGAGGTGCTGCCCCCCCAACCCCCGCCGCCCTATTCAGACTCTTAGTTGTGTTACTTGAACTCCTGTCCCTTGGTAGTGTCCTCGGGAAGTGGAGTGGGACAAAGAGAAAGGCCTAGTTAGTTACTCAGCGGGGATAGAGAAACCCTCAGCTTCAGACCTCGGGAGTTTTCAGTAAGAGGCTGCATGTTCATTTTTTCCATATTCTCCGAATCGCTGCCTCCTTCGTTAAAACCTCCCTGGCCCGTAAAAGAAGGAATCTGGATACCTGCCCTAGAGCATCCCTTTGCAGTTTCTCTTTTGAAAATGCTGTGATTTGATGGTGCTTTTCTGCCCGAACCGCTAGTCCCCCTGAGAGTTGAAGGCCAGGGTGTAAAGCTGTTGAAAAGTTGTAGCAGAGGCAGATGCTGCTCTGCGTTAATACTGTCTTGAAGAGTAGCTTGATACTAACCTCAGCTGAGAGGCTGCAGAGGGCCAAGTACTGTGCTTCAAGCTATGACAAGATTTTGAAGACAGAAAATAGCCCTTTTCCCGAGAAGCTTGGGTTCTAATACGATAATATGTATGCACGCCAGTAAATGTGAATTATGCATTTACATGATAAAGTGTAAGGAGATTCAGTTAGGGAAGTAGCAACCCTAGTTGGACGTTTTTGTTGAGAATGTTTCTTAGAGAAGGATGGAATTTGGCAGAGAATGAAAAGGCCTTTTAGGAGTGTGTGGCCTGCCTTTGTGTACTCGGAAGCAGGAAAAAATGAGTGATGTGCAAAAGAAGTGATACGGTTTTTTAAAAGATTCTGGTATAGTATTGGACAGCCAGTATATCTGCTAAAGCTGAGAGTTAGCCAGTGAAAAAAAGAGCGTTGTTGTCAAAAAGGACAGAAAAGTCCAAAAGGAAGAGCCTATGAAGGGACGGTGAAGTTTGTCTCAGAAGAGGTCTCAATTTTTAGCTTTCAAACAGCAGTTTCAGTAGAGCGGCACAAGGACGTTAGTTTGGAGAAATCAAAGAGATAGTTGGAGAAACAGTAGTACCAGGCATGCTTGAAGAATTCAGCTATGAAGGGAAGATAGAAAAATTGGTAGGGGAAAAAGTCAGGATACTGTCTCCTTAATGTTGGGCTAATCCATTAATTTTAAAAAGACACCAGAGATCATGCTTATGACAGAAAGGACTTGGATAAGATATTTCATGTATTCTCATGCTGCAAAATTAGTCCTGGCTCATAATATTTTTAAGGGTATCTGCCAAGTATCAAATACTAATAGCTATAAATTGCATATGTCTTATATGAAATTCAAAATTAAAAGTTCTTTGCTATATTCCCAGAAGAAACACAAAAGAATAGGTTTTGTTTTGGTTTTTTTTTTTTTTTTTTTTTTTTTGGTTGGTTGGTTGTTGTTTTATTTGGCAGTGTAAGATATGAATTTGAGGTTAGACAAGAAAAATTTTTAATTGGAGAGTTTGTGCAATGAGAGACTGTATAATCATGTGAGGTTTTTGTTGCTTTGTTTTGTTTTGTTTGAGACAGGGTCTTGCTGTGTAGTTCAGACTGGCCTTGAACTCACTATGTAGCTCAGGCTGGCCTTGAACTCATGGCCATCCTCCTGCCTCAGCCTCCTGAGTGCTAGGATTACAAGTGTGTGCCACCACACTCAGCTCATGAGTTTTTAAAGCCCACTTTTCCATAAATGCTTACTGTTAGTAGCTCTTCTGCTTATTTGTCACTGTCACTCTTAAATGTTAGATTGAATTGATGTGATGTTACATGAAGACACTGTCCTAGTTTGTATTTTGGGAATCACCTGTCTTCAAAGTCTCTAAATGGGAGGAAAAAAGAACTTCCTTTTGATGATTTATCATTTCTGAAGTATGAAGCATTACACATATAGCTAAGTTGCATTGGTCCCAGCTGGTATATTTGACATCTGAATAATAATATTATACACATAGAATTTAAAGTTGTGGAAAGGAAGCTAGGCCTCTTGCTGAGAATAGTCAAGTGTTGCTTTTCAAAAATAAAACTATAATTTTAATCAGAGACCATGGGACTGAGCACCAGTGTTCCTGTCTGTGAAGACTTGCAGTCTGCAGCAGCAGTTCTCAACCTGGGGCAGCTTTGTCCCCCGGGAAACATTTGGCAGTGTCTGGATACATTTTTGGTTGTCATAACTGGTATTACTGGCATCTGCTGCGATGAGACCCGGGATCCTACAAAATGTCTTGCAACACACCGGATAGCTCCCCACAACAAAGAGCCATGTGACCCAAAATATCAGTCCTGCTGCTGCTGTTGAGAAAGCCTGGTCTAAAGTTTGACAAGAGGGACACACAGAATCAAAAAAAGATTTTTATGGGAGAATCAAGACTGGAGGGGGACAAAAATGCGGTAAGTTATGTGCTAGGTTTTCCACATACATTTGTTCAGTCATCTTACTTTCACAGTTGAAGAAGCCAGTTCCAAAGGTTCGCTGTGACTTCCTCAACATCAGTTATAGGTGATGGAGTTGGGAGCAGAGCCAGCACTTTTCATGCTTCCCCAGGAACTTCACCTTGCTGCTTCCCGGCAGGGCCTCCCTGTGGCTTCCTCGTTCCTGAAAGTTCTTACCAGTTAACTTACTGAAAACCATTTGGTGCCTTCATGGTTGGCACTGACAGATTTAGCAAAGATTGTGTTAGATGCTATCCCTGCATTATCACTTAGAACTTCTTTGAATGAAATGTATTTTAAAAAGAAAACATAAACATAGGATTATATGAATTGACAGTCATGATCGATGAGATACTTTCAGCGGAGTGCAATGAAATGAGAAGAAACCAAAGGGAATTGGCTTCATTTCTTCCAGTTAGCTAAGGGGACTCTGGACCTGATATCTCACACACAAGGATATGCTAGGAGGGTAGGCAGCTCTATAGCTAAAAGCTTTGAGGAAGAAATGAGCAAGATAAATGCTTCAAAGAATTCAGGGTGTGGGGTGCACATCTGTAATCCTAGCTACTTGATAATCTCAGGCAAGAAGATCACAAGTTTAAGGCCAGCCTGGGCAACTTATTGAGGCCCTGTCTCAACATTAAGAGGGCTGGGAAGGTAGCTCAGCGGTGGAGTGCTTGCCTAGCATGCTGTAGGCCCTGGGTTCAGTCCCTAGTACCGGGGTGGGGTTGGGGTTGGATTGTCCAGAGGAACATGCTGATGGAAAGAGATTTTTTTTTTGAGGAGTAATGACTCCTTGCTCTGAAGCCTAGGGCAGAGGGCTAGTCCCTCTGGGGTCCAAGGGAAAAGAAGGCAAGGTGATAAGAGAACTAGAAAACATTAGTGATAGAATTAAAGAGGGACTAGGGGAACTATGCTTGAGGCAGGAAGTTGTTTGAGAAAAGCAGCGATTGGCCAAAAGTGCTGGCCTACATCCATCCCAAGGAGGGCACTCTGCTCCTTGGCCTGACATAAGACTGCCAGGGTGCCTTCTAGCCTTCAATTTATTCATTCCTTCATCCACTGCTTAGGACCTGCCTTCCGCAGATCTTTCCAACAAAGATCTGGGTTTCTTTGGGTGCTGTGTGCAGCAGCGGCCTGCACTCCTCATTGGTCTTTCCTCCCTCCCCTTACTAAGCAATTGGGCGTTATACAGCTGCAGCCCACTACATGTGTGTTTATGTAGTCATCAAGGTCTTCTTTGTTCATTGCAATTTCACCAAGATGTTGTTTGCTCCAGACTCATACAGTTCCGTTATCTTGGACTCCGTCCTAGGCCAGTATTTACTGAAGTACTCAGAGGACCTCTTTACGAGGCATGGGCTTGATTATGGTGAAGTTCCCATGCTTGGTTTAGCTTCCTTTCCTCCTGTGGGGCAAAGACCGTGCCTTTCTGTTCTGTTGTAACTCCCCATGGTGGGTAGAGCCAAGTTGTATACCCCATGGGCGCTCAGCGAATGTGTTGCCTCATTTGGGACAGATTATTTTATGTGTATGAGAAGTGCTGTCCTGAAAGATTTTGGCTCTTAGCTTGAGTTTAGAAAACTGCTTCATCTCTTTGCTTAGTTTACTTGATACCGCTGTATCTCAGAGCACAGGGTGATTTCATCTTTTCCTAAACAAGTTTTCTGTTAGTGCCTAAATCTCTTGGTCCAGCTTTTCTTAGCAACCCCCACTTCTCTTGAATAGAGTGGAAGCCAGGGACAAAATGGATCTCAGGTTTTGTTTGGTTTTGACATGTTTTTCAATGCACACTGAAAATCAATACTATTTTGATTCCTATCTCCTGTTTCCAGAGGCTTAAAATCTACTAAGGGCCTCACTGGGCTCCAGCCGTGCCTTCTTCCCCTGCAGACACCACCCAGATCAGCAGTCAGTGATCAGTCTTGTGCAGTCTCTGTCTCATGTGAGTTCTCAGGTCATTTCTCTGGTTTGACAAATTGTCCCTTAGATAAGCATCTGCCTATTGTTTTACCCACTGGCTCCTAGCAAGGCCTGGCTCCCAGTTGTGCATGGAGAGCTGTGAACAGTGAAGCTTGCCACGGGCTTTGATCTCTGCTCCAGGGGCCAGTGGGATGACTTCAGGGCTTGGGTCCTTGCCGAGAGTGATGTGTGTTTTGTTAGACTTGTTTACCTCATGGTTAGGACCCAAGTGCCTGCCCGGAGAAGGGAACCACATGTTTATTCTCTGTTTTGGGGCATTGTTCTTCGCTGACTCCACTAGTCCCAGAATGTCTCTCTGCTTTTATTTCCTTGGGGCTTCTCAGCAACTTTCCCCCTACCTGGCAGTGATCAGACTTGCTCAACCTCAGGCCCTTTCCCAGCATGGTTTTTGCAGATTTGCAGTTTCTGGAGTACCTGGAGCCCGGCTGGGCTGGGAATATGCCCTCCTTCTACCCCCATGTCACCCCAGGCTGTGTCTGCAGACTGACACACAGCAGTGACCTTCCCTCCCCTCTGCAGCTGTGCTGCCCACCAGGTTGAGTCTCACCCACATCCCGTTCTTGGGTTGGTCTCTGTTCTGTACAAGTGGATCCGTGTGTGGGGTGACGCAGTTTCTTTTATGCGGAGGAACCTAGCTTGCCTGTGAATTGGTTAGTGACCACAGTGTTCTCTAGAGGAAGCCTCTGGGCCTTGCTGGCCCTTATTTCTGCTTTGTATGTCTGGAGTTGGACACTGAGGGGCTCTCAGGTTGGTGTTTTGGAGTAATGAATGGATTGCCCAGCAAACAAACGGGGACCAATTCCAAGCAGTCTGTGTCCAATTAGGTGTCGGTCACAGAGCTCAGTGATCACAGATGCTGCTGTGGGCCTCTGGCTGGGTTAGATTTCTCTTTTCTCCTTAGACAAACCCTTCTCTTTGTATTGTTTATTTTATATTGCAAAAGCAATATATGTTTATTTTAGAAACTGGAGAAAATGCACATAGACAGAAGAAATCAAAAGCACCTACTCCGTGAGGGATAAGAAGCAGTACAACCCTGTGGGTGTCTCACGCATGCACACAGAGCTGTCTGGTGCCTCCTGTGATCCCTGGCGCTGTGTACACCGGTGGACGTTGGCCTAGGGAATGGCCTACAGTGTTCACTGAGTCTCACAGTGCAGGACCGTAGGCTCTTTCTGGTCTGTGTCTTGCCTTGTCCAGTGCTGAGTAAAATCGTGGTAACCAAGCTGCTATTTAAATAGGGTTTTTGTATCGTGACAGTTTGCGACCTGTGTGAGCCAAGTGTTCTCCTGCAGTACTTAGTGGTGAGGAGGTGACTGTGGAAGTATTCCACGCCCTAAAAATAGCTAACATTTATTGAGCATTTGCTACGTGCCAGTTTCTGTGCTAACCGCTGTGGCTTCTCTCTGTCTAAGGACACTAGAACAGGAGAGAATCTTCAACGTGGGCCGTTAGCTTGGTTCTGCCTTTGGCTTGCTCTCGGCAGTGTAGCTGTACGTCCTCACTAGGTATAGGAAATGCGCACAGCCGGGCGGTTGTGTTCGGCTATCTTGCCTCAGGTTCTCTCCCACTCCCCAGACCTCAGCAAGCCCAGGCTGAAGGAGCCACTCCCAGCTTGGAGTGGCATTGCAGTCCTTCCCTTCTGTCACCTCTCTAGCCTGCACAGCAATGTGGGGCCCACAGGAGAAGGGTAGAGAAGAGCAGAGCAGAGGTGTGAACTCCCACAGCTGTCTTCTTGCAGATGTGTGTGAGAAGCAGGGCCTGGGGCGAGCCTAGCAGGCGCTCCACCCTGAGCTATAACCCCAGGCCTTCCTGCAGAATGAGCACAGGACTCTGGGGCTGCATTTTAGCAGCGAACTCACCTCATGGATGCGCTGCTGTGGGGCCACCGTTAGCTCAGTGCTGTGTTTTAGAATGAGGCCCTTCTCAGTCAGAGCCAGCTCTAGTTCTGTGAAGGGACACTGCAAAGGGTACTTTTGAAAAGTCTTTCCACTGCCATCCCCTGCCAATTTTCAGGTCCTTCTCACCAGCCGCGGTGGGGCAGGATCTTGTGAGTTCTTTCGGACAGACCCAAGATGAGTCTCAGCTCATGAAGGCAAAAACATGTAGAGACCCCTAACCCTACCAAGCATTCAGGGTCTCCCCACCAGCGTCCAGGGTGCAGTCTTGGCATGAGGGGTGGGAGCGACCCTGCACGCTCTTGTCCCTGGTGCGGGTGGTGGGAGAGTGCAGCCTGAAGGTTCCTTGTTTCTGCCTGTGTTTTTGAGCTGACATGATTTTTACCCTTTGTCTCCACAGTGGTGGAGACCCAGGAAGGGAAGACAACTATAGTAAGTATCATTGTGTTGGCCTCTCGGAACTTCTCAGCTCTTGGAGCTGCCTGTCTGCTCCTCGGAGGGAGGCAGAGGCCCACACCAGGCTCCTGGCTCCTGGCTCCTGGCTCCTGGCTCCTGGCTCCTGGCTCCTGGCTCCTGGCTCCTGGCTCCGCTCCCTCAGTGTACTATTTTTCAAGCTGTGTGCTGTAGTGTGGTCAATCAGGAACAGTTACTCTGCCTGGGCCGAAGAATCCATTATGATTAAAGTGACCTATGGCATGACGAGGTCTCAGGGGGCTTTGCTAATATATTCTCTGGCAAATGATAAATCCATCTCCCAAAGGGGAAACTAAGGCAGTGAAATAGGCTAGAGAGCCAGAGTAAGTTGACTCAGCACTAGGGTCCCTTGTTTCTGCTCAGAGTAACTAAGCTACTCCTTAAGTGACACCTTCAAAAGGTAACCTCCAGCCCTGGCCACACTAGTAAGCGCCCTGGCTTGTCTGCTGGGAAGAAAACCAGAGCGACTCCCCACCTCCTCGCACTGCTCTCCCTCCCCGGGCCCCCTTACCTCCTTTCCTCTGGGAGTCATGGGGTCTAGCTTATCCTATAATCCTTGCAAGACAGCGTCGTTTTCACGTGGCCTGCCGTGCTGCCGAGAAATCCTCCGCCACTCCGGAGCCCTCTGTAACTTCTGTGTGGGTCAGGGATTTAACCTTCCGGCAGGCAGGAACCCAGTGCTCCCTGAGGAGTCCCTTCTCTGGGTGAGCCCTTCGGGTCAGGGTACTCCCTCGGCCTCCCATTAATTAGCCTCATGCCATTCTGACTTCCAGGGGCCCCATTCCCTTAGGGCATGTCTTCTGGTTCCATTATTAAAAGCCAGAATGAGCATTGGCCCTATGAGTCCATGCAGGACAGAGGCCTGTGGCTTGAGTGTAGAGTGCTTTTCCTGTGGGACATGAGTCTGCTCCTTGGGGATGTATGAGGGGGCACTGCAGCCCTGGAGAGCCATCCTTGCCTGGAGAGATAGCCGACTTTGGCTATTACTGTCCTCTGTAAATAAGGCCAGGCACCTGCACAGAAGTTGTGGGAGTGAAAGGAAATGATGTCTGGCCTGTTCTTAGTGAAGAGTTAGGCCTGTAACAGGGAGTCGGTAGATGTTGGTGCTGTCCCCGGCCACTGCAGTGCCCCCTCCCCTGGGGTTCACCGTGCACCTGTGAGTTCTCTCCAACACGCAGTGCTCCTTTTCCAGCAGCTGTGGACGCCACCGCAGGAAGGTGGTCAGCAGTGTCCAGCACAGCCGAGCAGGCTTCCTGCCCCTGCCCCCTGGGACGTTGCTGCTGCCCTGCAGAGCTCAGACCTGACCCAGCCCCCAGTGCCAACACCCAGACCCATGATTTACACCACAGAGTTGTCCCAAGGCTGTGTCACAGGCCACAGCACAATGCAGAGGTCATTTCCTATGTGGCCTCAGTGGGTTCCAAAGGCGGCATCCAGAATGGTAAAAGCAGTGAGGCAGACCAGGAATATGTCTACCGTCTGTGTTTTTGTTCCCAGAACAGCGCGAACAGGTACCGGCCCATATGGCCTTCTCCCATCAGCACTATCTGGAGCCATCTGGAGAACTCCTTGTGCGGCCACCCTGTACAAATAGTGTCCCTGCTGGATGCCAGTAGCACCCCTCTCCCCGGCATGACCATCAGGTGTCCCCAGATGTCCCCTGAAGAGAAAAATCACCTCTGGTTGAGACCCACTGGCATAAAGCTAGAAACTGTGGTCTCGCCCAGGGAGGACACTGGGACAGGAGGGTGACTTCCTTGGGACTGTTGGTTCCTGCACCACCTGAAACCGAGTGCATTAGTACTTGTCCCCAGAGGCAGGGAGGAAACAGGAGGCCCTGTTGGACTTGCTTGATTGAAGAAGGAAAGGTGACACTCAGCCATTGATACAGCAAACCCTTCCCTCCCGCCCAGCCCAGTATTACGTTCAGATCATTTCCTCCAGCCCTGAAGGCCACCAAGCCACATCCCTGTGGCCACCTCAAGTGGTGGTGCTGGCCCTGACCCTCACACCAGCTCTTTCTCTGCCTCCTAGATCGAAGCCCGCATCGTAGCGACACCCAAAGAGAGTCCAAATCCCCCTAATCCCACAGGCCAGTGCCCCATCTGCCGCTGGAACCTAAAGCACAAGTACAGCTATGAGGTGAGTCCGCACAGATGCGTGTAGCCCATGTGTTACCAAGGTCCGGGTCCTCCCTCTTCATCACTGCTGCTTCTCACAGAGCCACCAAGATGGCAGCATTTGTCCAGTGGCTCAGCCCTGGCTACACATGAGAATCACCTGAGGAGCTTTCAGACCTAGTGCCCCAACCCTGTAAGCCCAGCACTCAGAGGCTGAGGTAGGAGGGTCATAAATTTGAGCCAAGCCTGGGAAACTTAGTGCGATCCTGTCTCAAAAAGGGCTGGGGATTTAGCTCAGTGCCGAGTACTGTAGAAAAGGAAAGCTGCCCCAGCTCCAGCTCAGACAACTGCAACAGACAACCTCCTGGGAGTGGGGCTGGGCACCGCTGGAAGCTCCCCGTGATTCTAGCAGGGTCCCGTGACTGCAGGCAGAGCTGGTAGCCACTGACCGGGTTCATGGGCCGGTTGCGCCTCAGAGCACTGAGGTTGGGTTCTCCAGGGATGCAATCAGGCCTGGGCTTGGTTCCCCCCTCTCTGATGGGGCAGCTCGAGTTCTCACTACCCTGGGAACACATTACTCTCTCTCCATACTGGAGCCTCAGAGCCCTTGATTGCCCCAGAGCTGGAGTAGCCACTCCTGGAAGAAGATGGGGAGCAGTGCCCAGGGGTCGCGACTGTGTGCCCTGTGCCAGGTCCTTTATGGGCACCCTCACCTTGTCATTTAGTGTCCTTGAGAGCCCACGAAGGAGGGATTTTTCCGTCCTCGTTTCACAGATGAGGGTACTGAGGCCTGCAGAAGCAATGAGCTGCTCAGGCCACCCCGCTAGGATACAAATCATCCGGTAGAAGCCAGGCAGAGCCAGGGTTGCTGGCCCCTGTAGAGATGCAGAGGGCTGGGCTAGGATGCAGCCCAGAGACCGCATCTGCCCCTCCAGGCTCGCTCTGGTGATGTTAAGTGCTCTATTTTGGGGCTATAGGCAGCTCTGGCATGGACCAGTTTGACCTGCAAGCTGTCCCTGTGCCCCTTTGCAGGATGGGATGACCACAGGCAGACAGCTTGACCTCAGGTCACGCAGGGTGGAGGGAGGGGCAGTGACCCTGCCCCAGGCCTTTAATGCCAGTGACTGTGCCAGCCTGGTGACATGGCAGTGGGATGTGGGCCTGCTTGGAATCCAGCTGCTGATAGGGAGATGAACTCATGCCTGTCCAACCACTTGGGGTGCTCTTCCTGCCAGCACCTGCAGGAAATGCTGTGGCTCTATGTGCAGAGGGCACCTCTTCCCCTGTCAGGTAAAAGCTGGGGTTGGTCTCCTTTGTCCCCTGTTGCCTGGCAGCCAATGCCCCATTTATGAGCCCTGTGTTAGACCAACCCTGGCTCTTCCCATCTGATCCCAAAGCTTAGAGCGGTGAGAATGGGGGCCCAGGTCCTCCGGGGATAGCTGTACCCTGAGGCTGATCTGGGAGAGGGAAGGCAGAGATGGCTTCCCTCTCTCCTCGGCTCTGTGGTCCTCTCCTTCACCCACCACAAGCAGCCTTTGGGCTTGCGATGGCCCAGAGGAAGCCCAGGAACCCATTCCCATCTGCTCACGGGGATGTAGAGGATGGGCCTCCTACTTGGAGGGCTCACCTCCCATGGGGCCCCCTACTTGGCATCTGGGCCCTCTCCCACTTCAGGGGCTCACAGGAGGGCCACCTGGTTGTGCTGGGCCTGAGCTGTGGGTGCTGACACGGCCTCCCCTCCAGGAACACCTGTCCTGCCACCAGCAGGACGTGCCAGTGCAGGGAAGACTGGCCCTTCCAGAGCATCTTGTCTCCAAGTCTAGTAGGGGGGCCGGCAGGGCCCTCTGAGTGGGGTTAACTGTGTTGGAGTAGAGGGGGCAGAAAGAGGGCACAGCTCTGCGGGGAGCCGATCGCCGGACTCACAGCCGCTGCCTACGGTCCCCCAGGATGTTCTGTTGCTCAGCCAGTTCCTGCGGCCCCACGGCGGCATGCTGCCCCGGAGTGTGACAGGACTGTGCGTGGAGGAGCACCGCAAGGTGGAGGAGTGTGTGAAGATGGCCCACCGAGCAGGTAGGATAGGCGTGGCCCCGACACTCCGGGCTCCCCAGCCTCCACACTGCGGCAGCCACCCTGCATTCTTCCTCCCCAGGTCTGCTCCCGAATCACAGGCCTCAGCTTCCCGAAGGGTTTGTCCCGAAGAGCAAGCCCAAGCTGAACCGGTAAGCAGCGCTACATACCCCACAGGAGCTGCTGGCTGCAGCTCAGAGCCACGTGCACCCCGCCCGCTCAAGCCCCCTGCCCCCATCACACCCACCATGGCACGGCTATGGTGCCTCTGCCGCCTTCCATGCTGGCCCCAGCCCTTCTCCTGTCCTGCCCTGTTGGCCTGGACACTGGTGAAGAGCATAGGGAGGCCTGCTGATTGGGCACAAGAATGTGCTAAGCCTCTGTGCATGACCTCACACAGGGTTGCTATGGGGATGTCAGAAAACTTCTGCAAACTCAGTCCTCCAGCTCTCTCCAGCCCTGGGGTTATTACAGGACAGAGTGAGGCCTCAGAAACGGGAGTGAGGCCTCAGGGGTAGGACCACTGTGTACAGCAGTGTAAGTCATGCACTGCACAACGTTAGGCCAGCATCCCCATAGCCTGGATCCCAAGTGCTGCTCCCCAGAGGCATGCAATTGGTGGTCTTCACCACTTCCTGTGTCAGCTCAAGAGGTCCTCGGGTTTATAGACCCTGGGATCAGCCAGCCCCCCACCTAAGCCTGGTGGCCCCCTTCAGTGAAAGGGTCCTTGGCCTGACCGTCAGGCGGTGCTGTGCCTATTCCTCTTCTCCCACGTGATCTCCCCACGCTTGGGCCCTTCGGTCTGTGATGTGCCCCATTTGGCATAAAGCTGCATCTGGAACGTTGACTTGAGGGTCCTGTGTTCCCTCCCAACAGCCCGCCCTCCTCTATTCCCTCCCACCGCCCCTGGAGTGAGGAGGAGCTGAAGGTGGCTGAGGCTGAGCTTCTGGGCCATTTCCTGGCTGTGGGGTGGAGTGCGCATCTGACCCTTTGCCCCCTGTGCCCAGCTCCACCTGTGCCCCCGTCATGAGTGGGACCAGCTGCTAGCATGAAGGGCAGGTAACCTCTTTCCCCCTGGGGCTCCCCGCTGGGCTACAGCCTTTTGGGGGCCCAATCCCTTCTCAACTATTAGGGCACTTAGCAGGTCCAAGGACACCATACAACCTGCCCACAGTCTTGGAGGCCCAGGCAGTTCCTTCCCATGCGTCCGGTGTCCTTTAATGTGACAGAGGATTGATGATGTGTGAGGTCCTGGGCTGCAAAAGGCCACTCTGAGGGAGGGGTCCTGGCTGCCAAGGAAGCAATTCCTTCTTAGGACTCTGCTTCCCCGAGGTCCCTGAGCACCATGCACTAACCCAGGCCCTGCTTTGTCCCCATAGGTGGGACAAAGAGCCTCTGTGTGTCCCAGGGAGCCCTATCAGCAGCTGCTCCACAAGGCCCCGAAGCCCCGCTTCCCCCAGATGCCCCAGATTCCCCCAGGCTGGGAGAGGATAGCTGAAGGTAGGAGTGCCGGGTTGCCTTGGGGTCCTCTTGGAATCCCAATGAGCGCCCTCTTTACACGGCCTGCCCCATGTCCTCACACTCCACAGTGGCCATCAGGTGGTCCCTTTCCTTTGCCCCAAAATGATGACCATGAAACATGCAGTCCCAGGACCAGGCCTGCACAGTCAGCACCCCGGCGGGGACACCACTGTCCAGGCATGTACATGACCTCCCCTCCCTACTGGCACATGAGGCACAGGGCTAGAGCAGAGGACTGAGGTCAGAGTAGCCCTGCTGAAATGCATAAATCAGCAACCATTTTTCATTTTTTCATCCAAAATGGTTCAGCCAAGGTTATTTGTTTCTTAAAAAACTTTTCATCTGAGGGTCTCCAGGGGTGCCAGGGAGAGCCCGACCTGGAGCGGGCCATAGGGGTTTCTGGCCTTGTCACGGCTGTGCTTGTAGGATGAGGGTGGGCCTTTCTGGACAGGAACCAGGTCTCGTTCTGGACAGAGGAAACCCCATGTTTCCAGGAACTGGCAAGGCTCTGGTCATCCCCAAAGGAGGCCAGAGGGCCATGGGCGGCCACCACCTTTCCCACCCCTCCTGTTCCCAGAACCTCCCTGGGCTGAGGCCACACCAGCTGTTCCTCATCCTGGGTCAGCCTGTGCCTGAAAGGGTCCTAAAGGCCGGGTGGCAGAGCAAGCGGAGGCGGTCGGGGGAGGCTTCCGGGCATCGATGCTCCCATCCCTGCTCCAGCCAAGGCCACTCACACATGAGCCCTGACAAAAGATCAGAGGAGCTCTGGGCCACCCAAACTGGCCACACCTGGCAGTGCCAGTATCTATCATAAGACGTTGTAGTCATTCCCAGGGTGCTTTGAGAAAGGACCGCTGGGGAGAGGCTGGCATGGCCTTGGGGACAGTGCCCAGTGCTCATCACCACTTCCTGTGCTTTCTCGATAGCTACCTCACCCGCTGGTCTCCACGCTCTGTCAAGCCCATCTATAAAAAAGGCCACCGCTGGGACAAGGTGCGCATGGCTGTGGGGTCACCACTCCTGAAGGACAACATCTGCTACTCCAGCCGGCCTTGGAAGCTGTACCACTGACTCACACCTGGCCCAAGCACCTCCTGACTGCCCCACCAGGCCAGCCTGGCCCCCTCCAGCACCCGCGGCACAGGGGACAGTAGGACCATTTCAGTGCCTGGGCCTCACACAGCAACGGTGGTGGCCTGACGGCTGTGGGCTATGCCCAGTACTAGGGACAGTTTCACTCTAAGGATTGTCATTCATCAGCCAGGCTCACGGCCTTCCCGCTGACGGTGTGCTCTCTGCTGGGGAGGTAGGGGCCCTGGGTACCACTGGGAAAGTCTGCCACACGGTTCCCGCTGCCAAGAACAGCACTGTGCTCTAGTCTTGGGGCTGTAGGAGGGAGGTGCAAGAGCTGCATGGTCCACACGTCACTCTCATCTGAGCCTCAGAAGCAGCCATCCTCACGAGTCCCTGGCTGTCACCTCCCACCATTGTCTTCCGTAGCAGTGTCTCCGTTACCGTATTACATTTCTTGGCCACTGCTTTGGAAATAGGTTTCCTGGCCCAGGGGACCTCTCCTTGCAGCCTGGACACCAGAGGGAGGTGGAATGCGGGAAGGCAGGACAGAATAAATAGGCCAAGTTCACAGAAACTTAGGAAAATACTGTTTAGGCTACGCGGAGAACACCCGAGTGGCCCATCCTACAGCATGAAGGGCAAGTCCATGTTCTTCTCGCCGGTGCCCACATAGATGTAGCCGTGGTTCCTGGTGCGCGGGCTGTGGAAGAAGGTGAGGCCCGGCCACAGCAGGCTGCGCAGCACCACCAGCGAGTTGCCCCGCTCCATCTGGATGCTCCAGGACCCTGGGGAGGCAGAGGAAGGGGCCGGGGTCAGCCTCCGAGTGGCCTTCAGCTCTTGCACAGCTCGTCAGCACCACTCCTGGGGGGACGGCGGAGGAAGTGAGAAAGGTGAAACACACCAGTATGCTCTTCCTGTCGGCAGGTCTGGGGGGCCCGGTGCCACAGCGCACCCCACACAGGCTGCGGCCTCCTGGTGTGGGGTGATTGCCATGGCCCTCATCCCAGTGTGTCCCACTCGGTGCCAGGAGGCTTCGGCAGCCTCAGCTCCGTGGCCTTGCTGGCAGCGGGCAGGCCGGGCTGCCGCTGGTGGGAGGGGGCTGGGCGCCGCTAATGAGCCTCCCCACCCCGGTTCCTGCCCTGTCCGTGCTCCTGCAGACGGGAGCAGCCCAGCCGCCACAGGGACTTGGCTGGAAGGGCCAAATCCAGCTCCAGGTCCAAGGGAGGGAGCCGCTGTGTGGGAGGAAGGAGCCTGGGAAAGTCGCCTCTGGATGCAGATCTGGGGCTCCTATTCCCCTGCGCATGAGGCCTCTCCCGGAGCAGCCGCGGCCCTGCTCCTGCCCTGCCAGGAAGGCAGAGGCTTTAAAGGTTCTGGTGCCGGACCAGGCAGCGTGCTGAGCCCCGTGGCCTTCATCAGCTGCCAGCGCGGCCCAGCCGCTTGGCTCCCGCACTCAGCTTCTCATGGCCCACCCCAGTCACGCCGCGCCCAGCAGCCTCCAACGCCATCCCCACCCACTGGGGCCACCCCGCGTCCGAGAGACCTGCCCGCCAGGAACCCGTGACCCTTGTAGCAGCTTGGCCCCGCTCAGGGCAGCTGCCGGCTCAGGCCCAAACCACAGTTTTCTGGGGCTAGAAAGTTGGCAGCCCCTGGGTTCTCCCAGACCCCCACCACAGAGTGCATGACCCATGCGTGGCACGAGTAGGATCCATACGCCGACCTGTCAGCTCCCACGGTGCCTTCAGGACCCCATGGAGAAAGTACCAAAGCGTCCCCTGCCCTGGGCCCTGGCTGAGCACTGTCCCAGACCGGCCGCTGCATCACCCTGGCCTGCTGCTTTCCCAGCCCTCAGCTCCAGCGCGCACTGCCTAGGGAGATGGTGGGGAGAGAACGGCGTGCTCCCAGGCCACTGTGCTCAGCTTCTGGCAAGAAGCACAGGCCCAGGAAGGTCCCATCCGCAGCCTTCAGCACCCCGAGTGTCATCAGGCCAGCTTCCTAGAGACTTGGTCCCTCCCAGTCCTCAGGGCCTGTAGCCACCCACAGCCCTCTGAATCAGGGATGGCCAGGCCTGCTCATTCTCTGCCCACACAGAAGCTGGCTCACAGCCTTCCCGGCCACATGTTGCCTGGAATCCCCCAGTCCAAACTGCATGGGCGCACTGTCACCAGTCTGCTCACCAAAGTCACTGCGCCTCTGGCCTGCAGGAGGTCAGGGGGCACCTCATGCAGTATAGCCTCCCAGGAGAAGCCTAGCAGGGAAGCTGGGGTGAGCTGGGCACCCCTGGTGAGGCAGGAGGGCAGTGCCAAGCCGGCGAGGGGTGCTAGTGCAGCGGAGTCACCAGCCAGCACAGTGCTGCCCCTCCCTCGCTTGCATTCTTGTCACACTCCTGCTCTCTGCCATTGTCCCCGCTCAGCTGGTCGCCCAGGAAACACAGACTCTCGGGACGTGCCGTTAGTCACGTAGTGTCTACCTGAGGGTCCAGCCCCTCACTGTCACCTTCACTCACTTTTTTACTGAAGATGCCAGTGGGCCTGGGTGCAGCCACTGGCTGTGGCCCCCTTAGGACTCCAGGGAACAGTCCTCATTTTCCCAAGTCCCCTCGGCCCTCCCCTTGTGTAGTGGCCACTGCTCCCCGAGGGCTGTATTGTGGGGTGCGAGCCAGGGAGTGGAAGGGGCCTGAGCCTCTGGCAGGAAGCGCTGGGTTTCCCAGGCCTGGCCCCCACCTGCTGCGGCAGTGTGCAGACCTCAGGCCCAGGCGCACTGCCGAATTCCACTCCCAATGCCAGGACTGGGCCTGCTGGAGCGGGTTGTGCGGAACAGGGCTGTCCCAGGCAGCAGGCACTTAACCTCCCCAGACCAGCGACCCCAACTCGGTCACACACCGAAATGTGGCCATGTGTTCCCAGTGGGGGCCATCCCTGCCCCAGTGGGGCCACACGGTAGAGCTGAGTCCCTGCAGGCCTGAGCCGTGGAAGACAGTGGCACCATGGTCCCCGCCTTTAACAGACAGGCAGCAGGGCCTGGAGGCCCAAGGACTTGGGCAGGAAGCACCAACCACATAAACACCCAGAAGGTTGGTCAAACCCTGCTACCCCTTTCTCCTGTGTGCTCTGCCCCAACTACCACCACCACCACGGCTGCCGCTGCCATTTCCAGCAGCCAGCCCCTTGCTGCCCTCTGCTGCCCAAACTGCGCACCGCAGCTGAGCTTGCCTACCTGTCTCAGTTCCTCTCCCCAAGTCTCCTGGAAGTGAAGGCAACCCGCTTGTTCCCAGGGGCCCCTGGTGCAAGGCAGCCGCTGGTAGCCGTGCTGACAGGGCACCCATGGCAGCACCACCTAGAAGTCTGCCCTCCTGACCACAGCTCCAGCTGTGCACTGCAGCCCAAGGTCAGAGAACTCAGCCCCTGCCTGTGTCCCCCAGGAGGGGTCCCTTACCTTAGAAACGGGTGGCTCCAAAACTACCTAGTCCCCTACAGCAGTGCAGACCCAGGGCACAGTGCAAAGACAGTGATCCTGGCCAACACCCTCCTCCCTCTCAAACCAAGGCTGCCAGTGACAAGCTGCTCCGAGCTCCCACCCATTTCCATGGGCACAGCGAGCAGGCGTCCCTGTGACAGGGCCACCTTAACCACACCTGTTTGGAGAGACACCAGGTCACCTGAACAGCACTCACCGAGCACAGCTATGGGCTAAGCACTGGACAGAACACCCAAACTAAAGTTGGAGATGTGTGAGGACTTTTAGGGATGTCTGGGGGAAGATTCCAAACCTGCCTCCAGTCCAGACTGCTCTGGGTCCAACAATCCCACCCCCGGGTATATTTCCACAGGCAGTGAAACCAGTTTATCAAAGAGATACCTACATACCCATGTTCATACCGCACTATCCACTACGGCCAAGAAATGCAAACTACCTCAGTTTGGCTACTGGTGAGTGGCCAGAAAAAAACGGTACGTACAGTGTGAAATACTATGCAGCCCTAAAAAAGGGTGAGATGCTATCATTTGTGGGATTAGCCTGGGTAGAACTGCAGGTCATTATTATGATAGGTGAAAAACCAGGCACAGAGACAAGTACCACATGAGCTCACTCGTGGAACCTAAACAACTCTGAGGCCCTTCCACTGAGTGGCTATTGTGATGGGGCCTGGGGAAGCGTCATCCCCAAAGACCCCCATAGGGGGCCCACTCCCCCCAGGTCTCTGGTTCTGCTCCCTGAGGAGAGTGGCAGGTGCAGTCTTGCCTTTGGGGATGTCGTACTCCAAGGAGTCCAGGAAATCCAGGGAGGGGTCCAAGTCTGCTTTCTCCAGTAGGGTCTTATTCTTCAGGCCCACAGGCTCCCGGAAGTGGAAGTAGGAACTGAGCTTTCTGGCCTCCGACAAGGGCAATCCTAGAGAGGAGGCCATGGGAGGGTGCTCAGCCCCACCCCACAGACCCTCCTCCCACGGGCAGCCGGCAGGGACCACACAGAGAGGCACCAGAGGGAGACAGACCAGCGATCTTACAAGAGGGACAAAAGCAGGGAGCTCAGGCCCTTAACGAACCTGGGGTTCAAGTGGCCACAGGCAGAAAAGATGGGGACCAGCGAGCCGGAAGCCAGCCAGCAGCAGGGCACACAGGGTGCACCCTCAGGGATACAGCCGTCCCCTCCTCCTCCCTCGCCTCCAAGGCACATGGGGGAGGGAGAGTCAGGGAACCCACCCTCAAAAGTCCGGTTGACATTGACAGGTCCAAAGGGGGTCTTGAAGAGCGCGCCTCGGGGGATGATGGCCACGGCCTTGTCAATCTGGTCGATGACAGACACCAGGCGGGTCTCTTCCTTGATGTGGACCTGGGAAGGCAGGAGAGGGCCCGCTGCCAGGTGCTGTGCCTGCTCTGCCCTGGTGCAAGGACCCCCACACAGCCTCCTCCCTGGGGCTGCCGGTGTCCCTGCCAGGCCCTGCATCATGCCTGGCAGACCCTTACTCTCCCTCCTGGAGAGTCCTCCCTTCTTTTCCCACCTTCTTTCTTTCTTTCCTTCCCTTGCTCCGTCTCTCCCTCCCTCCTCTCTTTCCCTCCTTGAATGTGAATACAAACAAGTGATACCTCCCGGTACTGGAGAAAAACCAAAAAAAAAAAAAAAACAAGTGATACCATACTCACAACTACAAATGGGCGTGGTGGTGATGCATGCCTATAATCCCAGTGCCCAGGAGGCTGAGGCAGGAGGACTGCCACAAGTTCAAGTTCAAGACCATCCTGGACTATAGACCAAGACCCTGTCTCAAAAAATAAAATACTACAAAACATTTAATTTTTCTCTCTGACCCTCAAATTTCCCCCATTGTGGGACAGCCACTTGAACAGTTTATGTTCCCCTCCAGAGATATATATGATGAGATATTCTCTCATCATGTTTAAATGTTGCTTTTTCTTGTTAGGGGAGGGGGCTTGTTTATTTGTTTGTTTGTTTTGAGACAGGGTCTTGCTGTGTAGCGCAGACTGGCCTTGAACTTGCTATGTAGTCCAGGCTGGCTTCAAACTCGTGGTGATCATCCTGCCTCAGACTCAAGAGGGGTGGCTGGGACTACATGTGTGCGCTACCATGCCTGGATTAAACATTGTTTATTTTGCCTTTTTAAAATATAAAAGCCAGGGATATAGCTCAGTGGCACAGCGCCTGCCTGGCAAGCGCAAGGTCTTGAGTTCGATTTCCGGTACCAAAAATAAACCACAATATGAAAGTAGACGGGTATCAGTGATGCATGCTTGTAATCCCAGCACTCTGGAGGCTGAGGCGGAAGGATTGCCACAAGTTAAAGGCCAGCCTGAACTACACAGCAAGACCCTGTCTCAAAAAATAAAAAAGAAAAAGTGACCACGCTCACTTGGATAGAATACTTGGATAATACAGAAGGATATACTTAAGAGGATTAAAGCACTCATAATCTCACCTCCTCAAGGTAAATCACTAACATGTTGGCAGACTGGCTCTACTCTTTTTTTTCACTGTGGATATTCACAGTAAAACTGGAGACACAGGGAGTTTCATCTCCTGATCTCTGGTGTCATGTGACTGCCGCAAGCATCTCCCCACGTTAGAGCTCCACCCAGACGAACTTAACTGTGTTAACATGCAGGGCACCAGGACTGAAAGAGCTACATAGAGCCATCTGGGGCGGGCAGCCCCGGCTGGGGAACACAGTCCACCTGCCCCCCCGTGCGCCAGCTGCATGGCTGACAGAGAGCTAGGAGGTGGCAGTCTGCAAGTGTGTGGGCCCGGGGCTGTGAAGATGTCAGCTCACTGGCTCTGCAGGAGCCTGCAGAGGGAACCAGCCCAGTCCTGCAGACCGCAGTCAGGGGCTCTGGAGAGGACATTTAGGGGGCAGGGGCCGTGAAAGTGGTGGAGGCCCCACCACCCAGACACACAGGCGGGGGTTGGAACTCTGGCTCTGCCAGCTTCAAACCTCAGGCCCCTTGCTGACCTGCAATTGTATCTCTAGGAATTGATCCTTCAAGTCAAGTGCTCACTGCAAATGGCGTAGGTAAGGGATTACGTGCTTTGGCACTATTTGCCAGGGTTGGGGGCTCAGAATCTATAATTACATGACCCAGACACAGATTAAACACCACGCATTCCCACACAGGGGCAAAGAACAGTGTGGCTCTGCTTTTATTGTTTTTCCATTTTGTTTTGTTTGTTTGAGATAGGGTCTCACCATATAGCCCAAGCTGACTTCAAACTCTCCGCAATCACCCTGCTTCAGCCTCCTGAGTGCTAGGATTATAGGCATGTGCCACAGGAAGTCAGGATGGCTGAGCGGTCTAAGGCACATGCCACCACACTCAGCTGGGGAAGCGCTTTAAGACACGGATGCAGAAGGGTCTACAAAAGATACTGTCAAGGGAAAAGAGCAGGTGCAGAAATACGTGTGTCATACGTGTGTCAAACCATCCAGTTTATGTTGAGGTGAAGAGTGTGTGCAAAGGTCAGGCGCTGACTGAGGTTTGTATCTGCACAAAGTGGCTACACTCACACTTCATGGCAACTTAGAGCCCCTGGGGTCAGGCACCGTGCAGGTTTCTGATGCTGCAGCCTGAGGTCCTGCACTTCTGACACCTGTGCACACACAGAGGCACAATGGTTACACTGATGTCACCCAGAAAGAGGGTCGGTGTGACTGCAGATGTGGGGCGGAAGAAATGCCACTACATTCCTTTGTGCACTGTGGAGTATGGAACCCTGTGCCACATGATCTCATAAAATAAAAACTGGTGAAAAACATAGTAAGGTGGGAACCAGGCATGGTGGCACACACCTGTAATCCCAGCACTCGGGAGGCTGAGGCAGGAGGATTGCTGTGAGTTCAAGGCCAGCCTGGGCTACAAAGTGAGTTCAAGCCAGCCTGAACTGCATAGCAAGACCCTGTCACAAAAAGACCAAAAAAAAACAAGCCCACGGGGAGTGGCCCTGTCTGCATCCCAGCACCTCTCTGAAAGAAAAACATGTGCCATGTATATATTTACACATCTGTTTCATGTATATATTTATGGGTATCACATATACACCTACATGTGCATGTATATGTATATCACATGTATGTGTGGATCATAAATATATTTACATGTTATCTGTGTCGCATGTTTTGTGCATGTATGTATATTACACATATTTATGTGAGCATATGTGTATCACATGTATTCATATTATATGCTGCACATATACTTATGTGTATGCATATTACACGTTTGGGTGTATACATGTTTGTGTGTATCGCATATATATCCATGTGTGTGCTACCTGTGAATGTATGTGTGACCCTGGGCACACTCCCTGACCCCCTTCCCAGCGCCCCCAGGCTCCACAAGAGCCCTCCCGCCTCCCTGGCCCCGGCCCCGTTGTCTTATCCCACCCACGCTTCAGGGTCCTCCCTCTACCAGCCGGAGAGGACAGCCCTCCCTCACGGCGGGCGGCGTGACGGTCCCAGGAGGTACTGGCCCAGGAGCAGAGCGCCAGGCAGACCCAGTGAAGTCATGAGAACAGTACTCGTTGCCCTAATTTCTACTGGGCTGGCTTGGGCGCATGCGCACACGTGTGTTTGTTGTTCGTTTTGCTTTGTTCTAGGGGCTGAGGCTGGAACCGAGCATCTTCCAGGTTCCAGCTCTGCCTGAGCCCCTGTCCCAGCTAGCCTAGGCCCACCTCCTCCTCCTCCTCCTCCTCCTCCGCCTCCTCTCTCACCACCACATCCTCCTCGAAGGTCTTCTCGCCCTCGGCTGTCGTCTTCTGGAACTCGGTGTGCTCGTACTCATGCGAGGGGTCGCCCATGAAGCGGCCCTTCACCACAGCCACCTGTGCAGCCATCTCCTCGGTGGCAGGGGGTAGGAGGCTCCACTCCATGCAGTTCAGGCTGCAATGACAAGGTGGCCCTGCGCTCTGCCCCCAGGACCCCTGCTCCTTCCCCCGCCCCTGGAATCAGGGGCCCAGCACTGCGAACAGCGCCTTCCCCTCCCTCAGGCCCAAAGCCCTGAGCGCCCCTCGAGTAGCCTGCTCTCCTGCGCGATACAAATGCAACTATATTGTTCTCAGCTCACAGAAGTGTCATGTTCGGATGCTCCTCCACTTTTGTGGAGGTCACATCCTGATAAACCCATGCTGAACTGAAAATATCATTAAGTCAAAAAACCTATTTAAACCAGGCATTGGGGGCTGGGGATTTAGCTCAGCGGCACAGCGCCTGCCTGGCAAGCGCAAGATTGTGAGTTCGATTCCCGGTACCGGAGAAAAACCAAAAAAAAATAAAAATAAAAATAAAATAAATAAACCAGGCATGACAGCACACACCTGTAATCCCAGCACTCAGGAGGCTGAGGCAGGAGGATCACTGTGAGTCTGAGGCCAGCCTGGGCTACAAAGTAAATTCAGGCCAGCCTGACCTGCATAGTGAAACACTATTTCCAAAAGACAAAACAAAACAAAAACAAACAAAAAAACTATTTAACATGCCCAGCCCAACCCACATCACAGCATCACGGGACAGACAGGACAGGCTTACTGCCAACTGCTTGGCACCCCAAGAGAGGGGCAGCCCCTCAGCCTGGGGAAAGAGACAAATCCAAAATGTGCAGCCTTTCCCCACCACCACCAGGCTGAAAGTGTATAACGGGCAGCATCCTCACGGGGGCTGTCTGTGTGCTCCAGGTAGGAAAATCTCTTCCGGGTCATCAGCCTCACTTCCGGGGGAGCTTCGGAAGCTGCCCCTGCCCTGGTAGTGGGCACCCGCCTGCTTTGAGCTCAGCCCATGAGTGACAGCGTGGTCCTTCCTCTTGGCTCAGGGAGGCCAGGCTGGCTCCAGGCCCTCCACCCCTCCCAGAACCCCACAAAGAGCGCAGAGGGGACACTGACTCCTCTGGCCCCTCAGGGCTGGACTCCGCTGCTTCTCCCTCAACAGAAAAAGAGCTCAGCTTCTAGAGTCCCTGCCTCCCTGCAAAGCACTTCTCCTGTCCACCTCTGCTCCCTCCCTCAGAGGGAGAGTTTGCCCTGTGCAGGCCCTTCCTGCCTGCCTCCTTCCCCTGTGCCCCCAGGCCTGCTGCGAAAAGGCTTCCGGGGAAACTAACAGCCCACAAGCCACCTCCACGGCCCTCTGCTGTCTCCCTCTGCCCTCCTCCAGTGATCTGCCTCCCCCCACCGATCTCCACCTGCTTCCCAGAGGCCCAGCTGCACTGTGGGTGCCCAGCCTCCAACCACCTCGGCATCGCCACTGTCACCACCTGGTGATTTGCACTGGACACTGCAGAGATGCCAAACCTCCCCCCCTGCTTCCACACCAACTCCTGGTTCCGACACGGTCCCACCTACTGTTCAAATCTAAAGCAGCTCAAGGGCGCTCCTCTATGCAGAACCTTTGGGTGGCTTCCCATTGAGCCAAGCTTTGTCCCCAATCAAGGTCCCCATGATTGCTTTCTACTCTCACCTCTGACCTCACATCCTGCCCTGCTTTCCTGCACTCACTTCTCTCTAGCCACTCTAGTCTCTATCAGCTTCCACACACCTGCCACAGGGCCTTTGCACCTGCCCAGAACTATCTTCCCTCAGATACCCACATGCTTCACTCCCCAGCACTTCAGGTCTCTTCTCAGGGTCATCTTCTTAAACAGGTCATCTCTAAGAGAGTGCCCCAAAAGTTGGGCTGGGTGGTGTGTACTTACTCAATAGGATCACTTGACCCTACAAGTTCAAGACCAACTTGAATAACATAAGCAGACCCCATCTCAAAAAATAAAAATAAAAAGATAAAATAGCCCATTGGATGGTAGAACTTTCACCATCTGCCACCTAGGTCATGGGAGTGTTTGTCTGTCTTGCTTTCCCCATTCCCCAAGCACCCACTCCCACCTAAGTGTCCCCTTCACCACTGCACTCCTGGAGCTTAAATCAGTGCTCAGCACACAGTAGGAGCTCAACAAATCCTTATGCAATAAAATGAAATGGATCCCCACGGGCATGGTGCTGCACTCCTGTAACCCCAGCACTTGGGAGGCTGAAGCAGGAGGATCACCTTGGGTTCAAGGCCAGCCTGAGCTACACAGTGAGTTCAAGACCAGCCTGAACTGTAGGGTAAAACGCTGTCTCAAAAAAAAAAAAAAAAAAAAAGGATCCCCAAGTTTTCCTTCTGGGCTTCAGGTCTGTACTTTCTATGCCTTCTCCTTCTTTCCCCGGGGCACCTCACACTGAATTCAGTCTCCCCAGGTGCAGCCACCTGCGTTCTCTCCCAGCCAGCAGCACTGGCGTTTATTTAGCCACCTCGGGAAGGACAATGATCCCACAGCCCACCACCGTGAGGCTCACCAGCGCCAAGTCCTGCCACTGCCCACCTCATCTCCCAAGCTGCCCCTCCACTCCCTCAGCCACCCTTCCAAGCTGCACCATCCTACCTAGAATGACTCCTAAATGCATATCCCACTTCCAGGCTCTCCTTGCTCAGAGCCCCCCAATAGCTCCCCACACCCCACGGACTAAGCTCAAATGCCCTGGCCTCTCCATCCAGCTCTGCGCACGCGCGCACACACACACACACACACATCTGGCTGCCTGGGTCAGGTCACCTCCACGCTGAGCTGCAGAACTGGCCCTCTGACTGCAGGTCTGTACGCAGGCCAGGAGACACCACCCTGCCCCTGTACCACCTGACCTGACTGCTGTCTAGAAGATCAGAACCCTTGGGCGCCTGTGAGCAACTCTGTTCTAGTTTTAACTGTCAAGTGATGCATCTGTCCCCCTCCCGAGGGTCTGCACGACTCCAAGTTTCAGAACTGCAGCTCCCACAACTGGCTCGCACCTGGCTCCCCTAACTGGCTCGCACCTGGCTCCCCTCATCCGCCAGAACTAGGTGCCCCCAAGTCCAGGACACCTCTGCCAGATGCTGAGCTGCCTTCAGCCCCACACCTGGCTTCCACTCCGGTGGCCCCGTCTCCTGGGGAGCCTCCCTGGCTCCATCACAAGATCCCCGCACGTGGGTCTCCCTGTCGCCGTCCCGGATCTTCCCCACCTGTAGAGCGTCTTGCGCGGCGCCAGCTGGTCCTCAACCAGGCCCTGCGCGATGTAGTAGTCGGCCACAATCCCGAGGATGCGGCCCCAGAAGAGAACGCGGTCGTAGCGGTAGTCGCGCTTCACAAGCAGCAGCGAGGTGAGCAGCGCGGCGCGCCGGTCGGGGCTGAGGCCCTGCCCGCTGCCGGCCGCCAGCTCCAGCGACAGCAGCAGGCTCTCGGCGTCCATGGCTTTGGCTCCCCAACGCCCGGCTGCGGGGCCGACGCGTCTCCATGGCGACCTGGGCCCCGCTCCGCCCCTTCCGGGGTTGGGGCCCAGTCTTTTGCTGGCTCAAGTCCCTATTGGGCTCACTTCCTGGGTTATTTCAGGCCACTAGCCCTTTCACGAACTCAACCTTTAGAGCTTCACTGTATACACATACAATCGGGATGTGAAAAGAGATACAATGTAGCCTCGGCACTAGTTGTGTGGGCACAGGTCTACAAACCCAGCACTCCAGGAGGCTGAGGCAGAAGGATCAGGAGTCCCAGCCCCTGCCTTGAAAAAATAAAAAGGGCTGGGGACGCAACTCAATGTGATGGCCTTGGGTTCAGTCCCCAGTACCGGGGGTGGGGCGTGCGTCTCAACATTGAAACCAATTACACTATTTCAGCCGATTCAGTCACTTCTTGGCCTCAGATTTTTTTTTGAATCAAGGTCTTGCTGCTGTAGTTCAGGCTGGCCTTGAAGTCACTCTATAGCCCAGTCTGGCCTCAAACTCGAAATGATCCTCCTGCTTCAGCCTGCCGAGTGCTGGGATTACAGTCCTGTGCCACCAGGTCCAACTTTGGCCTCAGAATTATTTCAGGAAGAGAATCTGAGAGCCTGCCCGGCTGCAAAAGTCCATGAACACTGAGAATCCTCCCACCCCAAGCCGTGTCTTACAGGATAGGAACCACATACGTGTCCCTTTCCTGCCCTTCCTTGGAATTAGTCCACCCTGTGTTCACTGAAGATTAAGCAAGACTGAGCCAGGCTTGGAGTCACACACCTGTAATCCCAGCACTTGGGCGGCTGGGGCAGAAGGATCACCAGCCTGGACTACATAGCGAATTCAAGACCAGTCTGAACTCACACACACACACACACACACACACATTAGACAACAGGGCATGGTCATAGGACCACTCGGTGAAAAGGGAAGGGTTGTGTTCACAGCCTACACTTGCCCCACTGCTACCACCTACATTAACTACTTTGGGCCCCACCGCTGTTGCTGTTAAGATTCAAATGTAGCCATGAGACACAGGGGCAGGGCCCACTGCAGCTGGGGCGCTGCACCCCCAGGCTCCTGCATATCCACCTCTGGTCCCAGCCAAGGAGAACTGCAAACACGTTCCTCCACAAGCTTGCTGCCTGGTAGAGCTGGGCTTTATGGTTATTAACTGGTCTTTTCATTTGGGGATTCCTTTGAGAAGACTCATGAAATCAAAATGACCTGGGCCCCAAGGCCAAGCCCATAGGCATGCGTCTAAGTTCTTCACGTAATTACTTTGTTTTGATTACCTAGGCATTATTTAAGAAGGCTTTTAAAATAAGTATTGGACAGCACCTGCCTGGCAAGTGCAAAGTCCTAAGTTCAATTGCTGGTACCAAAAAAATTTTAAAAAAAAGTATTGGAGGGAGCTGACCCGGTTTAACATGCCTTCCATCTCAGAACAGTTTATAGCCCCTCTTCACAACTTCCCCACTCCCTTTGGCCAGAACCCTCCCCACTTCCTTCCCTTGGGGGGAAACATAGCCCAGTTCCTCTCCTGCAAGGTAAGGAGACAGAGAAGAACCCAAATTCTGGCTAGTGGAAGATGCTTCAAGTGCTCATTGCACAGAAAAGAGCCCAAGTATTTGGTTCTCAGTGATCTGTTTACCTATTGACAGTAGGCTCTACGTCAGGACCAGTAATCAGAAGGGAGACAAAGGTGTAACATCTCTGGAGGGCAAATCCTGGCTAATGTGGAATAAAACCACAGGGCGAGTGGGGCACTTAGCCTATGGGTCACTGGGTTCAAATCCATATTCTACCACTTAAGCAAGGTGCTCAGTCTCCCCAGCTATCACGTGGGCAACCACACACACGATGCAGTGTTGTCAGATTAGACACTGGGAGCTGTGTCTTGGGCATGAAAGGAAATGGGCGTTATAGGCATTGGGCAACAGAGGCCAAGAGGGAGCCTCCCTGTGGGTGGGGCAGAATTGAAATTCTGAATCACATAGATCTGAAATTCCATGACATCTGGAGGCTGAATTAAAATACAGTACTGAAAAAAGAAAAAAAAAAAAAAAAAAAAAAAAAGCCAGGCCTAGTGGCCAGGAGGAGACCAGCCTGGGTAGAATAGTGATGCTTGTCTCAAAACAAGAAAAGGCCAGGCATGGGGTGCACACCTGTAATCCCAGTACTATGGAGGCTGAGGCAGGAGGATTGTTGTGAGTTTGAGGCCAGCCAGGGCTACAAAGTGAGTTCAAGGCCAGCCTGAACTGCATAGTGAAACTGTGTTTCAAAAAGATAAAAACAAACAAGAGAGAGAGAAAAAAGATAGTACTGAGGCTGGGGATGTACCTTAATGGTACAGCATTTGCCTAGCATGCATGAGGCCCTGGATTCCAGCCCCAGCACCACTAAAATAAATTAATTTTAAGAGATTTTAAAATAGGGAGTCAAGGTCAGTGGCACATGCCTGTAACCCCAGCTACTTAGGAAGTTAGGGCAGGAAGATCACAAGTTTGAGGCTAACCTAAGCAATTTAGCAAGACCCTGTCTCAAAGAGGCTAGAGATATAGCTCAGCAGCATAGTGCTTGACTAGCAAGGGCTTGAGTTCAATCCCCAGTTTAATAAAAAAAAAAAAACAAAACAAAACAAAAAAAACACACACAATGAAAAACCGGCATACATGTCAGATACTATGTTTCCAGCACTTTATATACATTAGCTAACCCAGTAACCTTGTACCATCTATATTGCTGTCCCCCTTTATTTATGTACAGGCACACTCAGGGCCACACCATCTCCAACACTAGCAGGGGGATGACTTTGTCCTCGATTTGCTTCCAGGAAATGAGCAGGGGGTTTCCGTCCACAGGGTCCAAGGGTGCCAACCCTTGTGGTCAGGGCTGTGTCAAGCCAGAGAGGCACCAGTGAGGTTCATGATGGCCAAGTCAGATAGCTGAAGAGAAAATGCCAAGGCAGGAGGACAGAGTTTCGCCAATAGCTATGGCCAGCAGCCATCAAAAAACTACAGAGAGGGCTGGGGATTTAGCTCAGCGGCAAAAGCGCCTGCCTGGCAAGCGCAAGGTCGTGAGTTCGGTTCCCGGTACCGGAGAAAAACCAAAAAAAAAAAAAAAAAAGGAAAAAACTACAGAGAAGGGCTGGGCAGAACTCTAGAAAACATCTGGCTTTGGGAAGAGAACCCTTGTGAAGACCCTTCTGTTGTCTTACCCTGCTCTCAGCCCCCTTCCCCTGACTTTGGCCTCCCGGATATGAAGGCGAGAACAGACCCTAGAATAGCAGGGAGAGCTCCAGGGCCCCTTTTAAACACAGCTCCCCAAGCCCAGCCAGGGGCTGTGCCTTCTGTCCTGATTGATCACCAGCAGCACCTGTGACATCCAACAACAGCTTAGAGGAGACCATCTGCCAAGGAATAAGGCTGTGGCTCGCGCACTGAGATGCAGTCTTGTGCGGTGCAGCTCCCTGCAGCATTCTCTTCACTACAGACCAAGCACAGGGCACACCCTGCCCTTACAACCCTGGACTTGCACCAAATGGCCTGGTAAGGTAAGTTCCTACCCCAGATGCTGCCAAAGGTGACCTCTGCTCTGGACACACAAATCTAAGGGCAACTTAAGGGTCACAGAGATCTGTATGTAGCAAGGAAAGAACGCTGGGCTAGAAGTTAGCTGATGGGGACTGTCATCCCAATTCTGCTATCAAACCACTTATAGAAGTCATTTAACTTCCAAGACTGGCCTGGGGCTGAGGAAGAGAAAAAACTACCAGTAAAAGATCCTGTGGGGCTGGGGATATAGCTCATAGGCACAGTGCCTGCCTGCCAAGCACAAAGTCCTGAGTTTGACTGACAGCACAAAAAAAAAAAAAAAAAAAGAACCTGGAAGCCCTGATGCTGAAGAGGCCCAGAAGAAAAACAAAACAAAACAGTCTCAAGGCTGAAGTCTCTTTGAGTCAATAATTTCAGGAAAATTTAATATGATTGCATTCATTTCATACACAAATTCATCCATTTTGAGCCACACACACATATTACTCTGGCAAAAATCCAGAAAAGACAGAGCTAAAGCAGAAACTGCCACCTGTGTAGGAATGCCTATGGCCCCATCTCTGCTCTCCCACCCCAAACAGAAGCATCACCCAGCACCCTCTGGGGAGATCAACTTGATTCAGAGAGGATGCTCAGTGACAACGATCAAGGTCCCGGCCACACCTTCAGCCCATCCCAAGCTGCCTTCTCTCACCGGGAAGAAGCTCGGCTCACAAGAGACAGGTGACTAGGGCCCAGAGGGACAGCACGTAAGCAGCAGCCTCAGTCACTCATGGAAACCCTTAAGTGTCAGTGGGGCCTGGAACCAAATATAATCCTCGGAGGCCAAGGCTGGGACGGAAGGTCTGCCGCAGGACAGGGTCACGGTGAGTTTGTGACCCCGGGTGGGCACTCGGTAGTTGAGCTTGGGTCGAAACCACTCCTCTCCACAGTCTCGGTGACCCTGCGCCATGACGATGGTGCCCATGAGTGGAGGAGCCTGCAGCTCGCTGAAGGCGTCTGCCAGGAAGATGGCTCGGAAGAGACGGCGCAGACAAGTGGCCGTGCTCAAGCTCTGGTCCACGCTGAGGGGGGCCAGCCGGGACAGGTCAAGTTCATAGAACTCCTTGGGGCTTATGGCACTGCCCCCGAGGAGGATCAGCACTCGTGGTACCAGGGTCCGGGAAAAGAGGTCCTCAAGGTGGCTGAGGACGCTGTCCAGCTCCGCCAGGGCTTGCTGGCATTTCCTGCTGCTTGCCTCGCTAGCAGTCCGAGGTTTCTTCCTCACTGTGTCCTCTGCCTGTGAGGACAGAGCAAGTGGGAGACAATGACAAAGTAGGTGGGAGTGCCTGCCCTTTAAAGACCCCCAGTGGGAGGTGCAGACAGACTCACAGACTGGATTTCTAGCTCAATGAACTGCCATAACCACACACTGAGTCTTATCAGAGAACATTACAGTGTAAAGAAAAATATGGTCTTTGTACACAACCACGATCCTCCTACACTCAGAACAGCAAAGACAGTACCCTGAGGTAGAGGACATCCAGACCGAAGCACAGGAATGAGGAGTATGTGGTCTAATAAAGATAATTCTGGAGGTCCTCTGGTCAGACACAGTAAGTTAAACACATGGGTTATTAACACACGCTCCCACCAAGACACTGAGCAAAAACTAAGAAAGGAAGAGGAAAGAAAGAGGAAGATAAGTGCTGAGAAAGACTATAGAACTACTGAACAGGCCACACTGGGCAAGGCAACAAGTTTTCAAAGACAGATGCAAGACATGGTGGTGCACACCTGTATGTACTCCCAGCACTCCAAAAGCTGAGGCAGGAGGATTGTCATGAGTTCAAAGCCAGCCTGGGCTACATAGTAAATTCAAAAACTATATAGTGGGGCTGGGGATTTAGCTCAGCAGCACAGCACCTGCCTGGCAAGCGCAAGGTCGTGAGTTCGATTCCCGGTACTGGAAAAAAAAAAAACAACTATATAGTAACACCTTGACTCAAAAACAAGATAAAATAAAACATACATAGATAGATAGATAGATAGATAGATAGATAGATATGGAAAAGAATTCAAGAGCTGAATACCAGCTACTATTAAAGGAATCTTGACGAAGCCTGGCATGTTAGCACATGCCTGTAATCCCAACACTCAAGCGGCAGAGGCAAGAGGTCTGCTGCAAATTTAAGGCCAGCCTGGGTACACAAAGACCTTGTCTGAAACACACAAACAAAAAACCAAGAGAAACACATTCACACAGCAGAACCCTGGCAAAGCTACAGTTTAAGACAACAGTAAATACAGGGGACTGAGTAAAAACCTGTGTGAGTATGCTTGGACCAAGTGCTAATTCTCTCCACCCATAGATGTGCCAATACTGTTTGTGGAGTTCCACGGGTTCCCACCCAATCTCCTTACGATAAAGTCCAGCAGCCCGAGAGGCCCAGGCACACTCATAGAGCTTGCAAGGATTTATTCTGAAATGTTTGTTCACCAGATGAAAGCCTTCAAGATGAAAGTCAGATCCCAAAGCAAATGGAAAAAGGAGTCTGGACAAAACAGAGATACTGCAAAAAGCAGAGAAGAGCTTCAAACACACAACAGATAACCAGATAAGCCAAGTTCATACAGTTATGAAACAGGATGTTATTAAAAAGAACCATGAATATAAAGAAAGAGCTCTTAAGAATCTGACTTCCAAAAAATAAATAAATGTGTTAGATAATATAAAGGCAAAAAAATCCACTAAAAAAGTAGGGGCTGAGGCATGAGGATCTCATTTCAAAGCCAGCCTGGGCTACAGAGGTAGATCCTGTCTCAAAAAACAAAACAGCTGGGCACGGTGGCACACACCTGTGATCCCATCACTCTGAAAGGCTTGAGGTAGGAGGATCACAGGTTTGGGACTTAAGTGAGAGCCTGCCTAAAAAAATAAAAAATGGGCTGGGGAAATACCTCAGTGAAAAAGCCCTGGGTTCAATCCCCAACTTGGGGATAGGGGTGGGGAGAAAGAGGTGAAAATTTAGAAAGAAAAGAAACCAATATTTAGAGAGCTAGTTCAAAGTTGGGGAGGGGCGGGGGCAGGAAGCTCTGTAGAGCCTGTGCTTAGCATGCACAAAGCCCTGGTTCAGGCCAGGTGTGGCGGCGCAGGCCTGTAATCCCAGCACTTGGGAGGTTTAAACAGGAGAACTGCCATGAGTTTGAGGCCAGCCTGGGCTATAGTGAGTTCCTGGCCAGCCTGAACCACACAGTGACACCGTTTGAGAACAAAACAAAAAAAGCCCTGGGTTCACCATCCCCGAACGTTTAACAGAGAGCTCATGAAGTCCATATGCAACGCTCAACAGGAATCTCAGAAAGGAAGAACAAGAGAAGTGCGGAGAGTTAGGCTACCAAAAACCGTTCAGCTGCTACACCTGATACAAGCCCTGAAGTTTAGACCCCTTTTCTCCCTGCCTACCATCTAAGGACCCTAAAGTCCTCCCAGCTGCTCTCCCCACACACCTGGGGAGACGTTCTGCGGTAGAAGTGCTTGAGCTGTTCATAGGGCAGAGGCAGTTGCTGGCGTTGGTACATGATGTGCTTTAGAAGTTCACAGGTAAACCGGCAGCAGCCCTCCTGGCTCACAGGCCCAGGAAACACGACTGGTACCAAGCAGTCTCTCGGGCAAAAGGGCTCAGAAGGGTTGGGAGGTTCCTGGGCAGAGTGGGTCTCAAGCAGGTCTATCTGGGGATCAGGAGCTTCTTCCGATTTGTCATACCATTCCAAACCTAATGCAAGGACAGAAGGATAAAATGCGAAAAAGGAAAGCGCGACAAGTCAGTGGGAGTCTTCTTGGTTCCTGAGGTCACCACGTCAGTCACGTCGGCGAAGGGGGGCATCCTGACACCCGCACGGAGACCTCGCCACCTGCCCTGGTCATTTAAGTGACTGGACGCTGGGGGTCTCGGGGACAGCGGCAGGGGCTCCTCTGACAGCGCCAGGCCCTGGCCAGAGGAAATGAGTCCAAAGTGTAGTCACACCGGGCCCCGAATGCCGAAACCGAGACAGCGCAACGCAGCGTGAGGAAATCGTGGCAGAACTAGGCGGGGCCGCACGCGCGACCGGGGACAGGCAAGGACCGGAGAAGGGTCAGATAAACGATCGGGAGTGGTGGCAAGGAAGAAACAGGTTCCAAAGGCTCCCCAAGCTCTGGATCCCACGCCTTACCTGGGACAGAAGCCGGGGGAAACACTTCCGGCTCCAACGCGGCCATCGCGACCTCTTCCTTCCGCAGGCAGCAGTTAGAACCAGCACCCCAGCGCAGCGTCACAGAAAGGCCACGCCCACTTCCTGCTCCGTCAGGGAATGAGGGGGTGGCACCGTGCGGCGGGATGGGCGGGTTTGAGAGTTGAGTTTCTTGGTGCTAGTTTAGCTCTCAGGTGCTTACGCTTGCACCAGGGAACCCAGGGGCTCCGGGAAGTCCTCCCCGCGCATCCTGCACCCTGTATGAGCTCTTGGCCGCTCACCTACTGTGCCCGGCCCTATCCTTGGTGCTGAAGACCGTAAACAAGCTCTGTCAGAACCTTATCAACGATGTTAATTCCTGTAAGGACGTGGGAACGCCCCCCCCCCGCCCCCCGTAATACACACACCAGTACTGGGGTTTGAGCCCAGCGCTTCAATCTACAAATCTACTCCCCAGCCTTTTTGTTTTGCTTTGGTTGGTGTTTTTTGTTGTTGCTATTGTTTGTTTGTTGAGACAGGGTCTAGCTATGTAGTGCAGGCTGGCCTCAAACTCAGGCGGTCGTCCTACCTCAGCCTTCCGAGTGCTGAGATCAAAAGTGTGCGACATCATGCCCAGCTCCCCAGCACTTTTTTATATTTTATTTTGAGAGAGGGTTTGGCTAAATTTCCAAGGCTAGGCTTAAACTAATTCTCCTGCCTCGACCTCTCAGGGTGCCGGGATTACAGGTGTGCGACACCATTCCCTACTATTTAAAAAAAAAACACAAAAATAGTAGAGTAAACCAGGCATGGTAGCGCACACCTGTAATCCCAGGACTTGGGAGGCAGAGGCAGGAGGATCGCCATGAATTCAAGGCCAGCCAGGACTACATAGTGAATTTAAGACCAGCCTGAACTACATAGTGAGACCCTGTCTCAAAAAGCAAAAATAAATAAAGTACCAGAGTGACAAGATTAAATTTACATTTTATAAATTTAATCACTACACTGGCTGCCGTCTAGAGGTTGAATTCCAGGGAGGATAAGAGATCAGGGCTGGGTGCAGTAGTGCCCAGCTATAATCCTGACTACTTAAGAGGTTGAGGCAAGGAGATGACACGTTCAGGGACAGCCTGGGCAATTGAGCAAAGACACTATGTGTAAAACATTTGTATAAAAGGGCTTGGGAATGTAGCTCAGTGGCTGAGCACTTGCCTAGCATGTGCCAGCCCCTGGATTCAACCTCAAAGACAGAAAGAGAGAGAGAAAGAGTGATTGCAGGTAGTAACACAAATTACCCAGTATGGTGAAAGAGACCTGAAGTAGGGTAATTCTAATGGCTGGAGAGAATTGAGTGGACTGTAGAGGTACAGTATTTAAAGACCATTAGTATGACTTGGTGGTGGATCTGAGGAGGAGGGACAGAAAGTCTGCAAAGACAAGCAGATTTCTGGCTTTGGCAATTGTATGGCTAGTTGTGCTATTCAATGAGAGAAGGGAACGCTAGAAGAAGTCTCGGTTTTGTTGCTTTGTTTTTGCAGTACTGGGGATTGAACTCAGGATCTCATACAGAACTACATCCCCAGCCTTCTTTTTATTTTGAGTCTCACTAAATTTTTATTTAGGGTCTCACTAAATTGCAGGCTGGGCTTGAACTTGTGATCCTCCTGCCTCAGCCTCCCAGGGTGCTGGGATTACCGGCATGTGCCATCAGCCCAGCTAAGAAGAGTAGGTTTATTTCAGAATGACTAAGGAAAATGAATGAGTTCAGTTTTTCATAGATTGAGTTTGATGTCCCCACTAGCCAATGAAAGATATATTTAGGAACACATTTGGAATACAGATAGTTATCTGATAGAAGTGGACAAACTCGCGCAGGGAGGGTATATAGAATGAAAATGGCTGAGATTCTGAAGACAGCAATGTTTATGAGATGACTAGAGACAGAAAAAGCCCAGGGAAAGAACATGAGAGTGAAGAAGAGGGTGTGTTTCAGGAAGTAAGAGACCAGAGATCAAAACATACAGTACTACAAAAAGTACAATGATTAAAATGCTGTGGTGGGGCTGGGGATTTAGCTCAGCAGCATAGCACCTGTCTGGCAAGTGCGAGGTCATGAGTTCGATTCCCGTACAGGGAAAAAAAAAAAAACAAAAAAAACCTTAAAAAAAATAAAATAAAATGCTGTGGTATTGAGCTAGGGATCTAGCTCAGTGGTAGAGCACTTGTCTACACCCAAGGCCCTGGAATTGGTCCCCAGCACTGCAACAAAGGGAAACAATCCAAGCAAAGAAAAAACAAAATACAGCTGGACATGGTGGTGCAGGCCTGTAATTCCAGCTACTTGGGAGGCTGAGGCAAGAGGATTGCAAGTTCAAATTGAGCCTAGACAATGTAAAAAGACCCAGTCAGAAAAATAAAAGCAAGTCAGGCACAGTGAGCACATCTGTAATCCCAGCACTTGGGAAGCTAAGAGAGGAGGATCTCCATGAGTTTGAGCCCAGCCTGGGTTACACAGTGAATTCAAGGTCAGCCTGAACTATATAGCAAAACACTGTCTCAAAAAAAAAAAAAAAGTAAAAAAGACTGGGAATTTAACTCAGTGTGAGGCCCTAGGTCCAATCTCCAGTATTGAAAAACAAACAGAAAACAGAAAACACTGTGGTACTGGTTTAAGGGTAAACAAAATGCAAGAGTTCAGAAACAGATCTATGTAGGTTTTAGTGAAAATGGTGACTTTTCAAAGTAAATAACCTAAGACAACTCTATTTGCGGGAGAAAATTCAAATTAGCTCCTGACACGTATGCACACATGTGTGCACAACAAACAGATACATTCCAAATGGATTAAAGATCTAATATAAAAATAAACCTCATCCCCTAGAAAAGGGTTGGGGGTACAGCCTCATGGTAGAATGGATGGATAACTCATACTAAGGTTCTGGGTTGGATCCCCTTGCGGGGGAAAGCTCCTAGAAGAAATATTGTGAATTTGTAATCTAGGAGTGAGGTGGGCTTAGAGTGACACAAAACCAAGAAAACACAAAGGAAAAGACTGCTAAATCTGAGTTTAAAATGTATGCACACATACTACCCACAAAAATAAATGACTAATTACAAGCCAGGAAACATGTTTGCACGTGACTTGTGTATCCATGATGTATACATAGCCCGCAGCCAATAACATTATAGGTACTTCATAAGCAACCCCTCCAGGAAGCTTCCATTCCTCAAGATCCTGGTCACATAATACCAGCTTCCATTCCTCAAGATCCTGGTCTCTTCCTGAACAGACGTTCCAGTTCAGCCTACTCCTCTGCCAGCCGTCACTTCTGTCTGTGGTAGGTCACATTGTTTGGGCATGGGCTATCATAATGTCATCCCTGCCATCTCTTAAAAGAGGTTCAAGTGGAGTGTGGTGGTGCACACCTATGATCCTAGCACTCAGGAGGCTGAGGCAGGAGGACTGTCACAAGTTCAAGGCCAGCCTAGACTACAAAGCAAGACCCCATCTCAAAAAACACTAACCAAAACAAAAACAAACAAACAAAAATATTCACGCAGCAGACAGGGGACTAGGATGAAGTGAAATTGTGTGTGTGGGATTTGGCTGTTGAAAGATCCAAGTAGATAAAAGGACAGGTGTTACCAGTCAAATGGAGCAGGCTCGGGTTATCAAGAGGGCCCAGAGGTGGTGATAGTGATAATACTGGGGTGTGGTCTTATCTCTCCCTTCCAATCCCCATCCTTTTTGAAGTCTCCCACTGAGTTCCATAGTCTTAGTCTCTTAGCAGTCTTTCAGGTGGACCTGTTAATGCTGTTTGGGGTTGAGCGCTACAAAATAACCTTTCCCTCAACCACACAGGACACTGAGGAGATAAGTCATGTGTACTTCCAACCACTGAAGACCCACAGCATTGGCTGGACCTGGAAGGCCCTGTACAGACTCTGGTCCTTTGCTCTCTCCACTGCAAGAGTTATGCCATGTGGACAGCCACTGCATCGACAGTAGACCTGCCTGCCTGCACGTGGACCTTGGAAGAGCCCATGGACACCACACAGTTGGAACCTTTGCAGGCATCACCAGAGGTAAGAAAGCCACTGTTGCTGCTTCCAGTTTTCCAAAGAAAACTGAGATCAGGAAGCAAAATCTGTTTTATTTTTTGGCTGTGTATGAACACCTTGTTTGTGAAGTGAGGGAAGTGGACTCACTGTGAATGGTGAGTCACAAGATAGCCATGGGGCTGGAAATTGAACTCTGGCGTCCCGACTCTCAGCAATTCTGCTTCTCCACCCTACCTTTCTGGTGTCTTGTATACTGATTTGTGTCGCTGGTCGTGTTTACTGTCTACTGAGGGCAAGAGCCACTAAAGAACAGGAGAGACAGCTTGGCAAGAAAGTCAAAAGTCAACAATCCCCTAGGGCTCCTGGCCAAGTTTCTATTCCCGGGCTACTTCCTCACCCTCTCGAAGGCTGATGTAACCGGAGCCCCAGCCCCGCCCCAAGTGGGGGACTGGTCCCTTCTACAGCCCTGGCCGGTTTGAAACCAAACTCGGTTCTCCCGGATTGGTCCAGCTTCAAAACAAAGGGGAGGGGGGAAATACTCGCTGCAGGCATCCTCGAAGCACTCAGGCTGCTGGCTGTTGGCTGTTTATGGGTTCGAGCCTCGTGTCAAGGCCACTGCGGTGCCCGGGGCGGCTAAAACCTGCCTCGGACGGTGCCAGCCTGGTAATAATGCCGTGACTACCGTATAAAGGTGGCATAATCATCGCCACAGTAACAGCCGTAATTAGGCTAACCACCATCTGCCTCCGCCCTGGAGCTCCTGACTCACCCCAACAGCATGCGGGCCATCGGGGGAGAAACTGAGGCAGAGGTGCAGCTGGACCGAAGGTGGGATTAGTTTCCCTGAATTCTGCAGCTCTCCAATGCTGTCCGGGATCCCCAACCTGTTGTCCGGGATCCGCCGTTAAGGGGCCAGACCCAGGGGCGCCCACAAAGGGCGATTCTGATGTAAACCCTCGGTGCCAGTGACTGTCCCCAGCCGCAGGCCGCGGGGCTCCCCGACCCCCACCCCCGCTAGAGAGAAAGAAGAGCTCTGCGCGTGGGGACCAGAAGCCAGACTACAGCTCCCTTCGGGCCCCTGGCAGAGCCCACTCTTGCCCCGCCTCGCAGCACCTGCAGACCGCGCTGCGATGCCTCCTGGGAAATGTAGGTCGGAGGCGCGGTCGTCCGAACGAGGCTCAAGGCCCGCGGACTCAATATCCCGTAGTGCCCTGCCACCGCTGGGGCGGAAGGGGGCGTGGCCTGCCGGGCACCACCCCGCTCCTCCCGGCCCGGCCGACGCGGAGGAGGCTGTGGGGGAGGGCGGCGGCGGCAGGGGGGAGGGG